TTTGCTATAATTTTTTTTTTTTTTTTTTTTTGAGATGGAGTCTCGCTCTGTCACCGAGGCTGGAGTACAGTGGCGCAATCTCAGCTCACTGAAACATCCACCTCCCGGGTTCAAGCAATTCTCCCGCCTCAGCCTCCTGAGTAGCTGGAACTACAGGCGCCCGCCCCATGCCCAGTCAATTTTTGTATTTTTAGTAGAGGCAGGGTTTCACTGTGTTGGCCAGGTTGGTCTCGAACTCCTGACCTCATGATCTGCCCACCTCAGCCTCCCAAAGTGCTGGGATTACAGGCGTGAGCCACCACGCCCGGTCAATTTGCTACAATTTCTTATGCTAGTCAAAGTGCTGATCCCTAATTAAAAGGACTCCTTTTGTTATCAATAATAAGAGACATAATATTCTACATATTTAATCACATTTTAAAAAATCCTTGGTACAGTTCTCAACCCCGATATTGAGAAGTCATCCTAAGGAGAGATCTAAAGTCCATGTCATGGTCATATTTATTGGTACATAGGAATCAAATGGACTCCAGGTAGAATGAGTGCTAACAAATGCTGGGTTCCTGCAGGGTGACCTCCTCAGCAAATAACCACCCTCTTGTCAGCAGTTATTCACCTGAGTGGTGATGAAAATATCTGCCTCAAAATGCTGTGCAAAAGCATTCTGGGACACTTCTCATGTAAATGGTGATTGACTCCAGTATACTTTCTAGTTGCATGATCTGCTATTTCTCCTTATTACATTTTATATATTCTCAGACTATTTTTCCTAGGGTTTCAGAAATGTTACTGGATCCTGTTTCTACACCTTCTTGGGACCCAAATAAAGAAAATAAATCCTATATATTTATATATTGCTTCAGGCCATAATCTTAGGTACAAATTAAATTATTCTTTATTCAGATATGGACGCTAATTGCTTAGTCCAGTGTGATACAAAACCAAACAACTAGTCATTAGGAAGAGTTCTTTTCTATTTAAGAGGCCTATTTGTTTTCGAATCATGGGAGCTTAAGAAAAAAAAGGGGTGGCCTATTTTTTTAAACTTGGTTATCATAAATTTCTGCTTTTCGGATAGACTTTATTTTTTGAAAAAAAAGGAGACTTTCCCAAAAGTTATGCAGCTTTTATGTTTAGCTTGATAAATCCATTTTCCTGTCATTATGATATGTCAATCTAAACTACAGATATTTAAATTTTTACAAAAGTCAGGAATTGATTTGCACAGTTGGCTTTTCTCTTTAGAACAACAGACTAATTTGTCATTTTTTTCTTAATATTTTTCTTTCTACTATAGCAATTTTAACCATATACAAAAGCAAAGAGAGGAGTATAATGGACATCTATATGTACATTAGCTAGAAATTAACAATTGCCTTTATTTTGCCCTATTTGCTTCACTTTATTTATTTGGTTGAAGTATTTTAAAGTAATTCCAGACTAAGCAACGTGGCTCACGCCTGTAATCCCAGCATTTTGGGAGGCTGAGGTGGGTGAATCGCTTGAGCGCGGGAGTTTGAGACAAGCCTGGCTAACATGGCAAAACTCTGTCTCTGTTAAAAATACAAAACTTAGCTGGGCATGGTGGCGGGTGCCTGTAGGCCCAGCACCTCAGGAGGCTGAAGCGGGGAATTGCTTGAAACCTGGAGGCAGAGGTTGCGGTGAGCTGAGATCACACCACTGCACTCCAGCCTGGGCAACAGAGTGAGACTCCATCTGTAAAAATAAAGTAATTCTAGATAACCTGATGTCTTATCAGAAAACACTGTAGCATGGTTTTTTAAAAGAACTTTTTTTTTTTCCTTTTTGAGAAAGGGTCTTACTCTTATCACCCAGGCTGGAATACAGTGGCATGATCACAGCTCACGGCAGCCTTGACCTCTCAGGCTCAAGTGATAAATTATCCAGCTAATTTTTGTACTTGTAGAGTCAGGTTTCGCCATGTTGCCCAGGCTGGTCTTGAACTCCTGGGCTCAAGCAATCCTGCCTGAGGATCTGAGTGCTGAGATTACAGGCATGAGCCACCACACCTGCCCTAAAGGATATTTTAAAATCATAAATAGAATATCATTATTTTAAACATAACTAGAATATCATTATTCTAGTAATTATTTTAAACATAACTAGAACACCATTATAATATCTAATAAATAATTCCCTAAAATAACCCAATTTTCAGTCCATATCCACATATCTCCATTTATTGCTGGTTTGTTCAAGCCAACATCCAAACATTGCATTTGATTGTTATGCTTCAAATGTCTCCTTTACTCTAGAACAGTCCTAACAATTTTTTTTTATTATTATAATATGAAGAGAGTAGGCCAATTGTCCTGTCGAAAATTAATTTGCATTTTTCATACTATGTGAGCCTGAATATCTTTTCCATGTACTTATTTATCATATGCAAACTGTTTATTAATATCTTTCATCCACTTATCTATAGAGGTTTTGGTTTTAATTATGAAAATAAATTTGTTGGTTTCTTCCAGGTTTTTTTTGTTTTTGTTTTTGAGACAGAGTCTCACTCTTGTCACCCAGGCTGGAGTGCAGTGGCGCGTTATGGGGAGAGCCTAAAAAAAAAACTTTAATTTTTAATTTTAAAAATTAAAAATAAAGGAGATTAGGACATTGACGCACACCGAGGAAAGACAGCATCCATCTGCAAGCCAAGGAGAGAGGGAGGCAGGCCTTAGAAGAAATCAACCGTGTCAAGACCTTTATCTTGGGCCGCCAGAATTATGACAAAATAAATTTATTGTTTACAGATAGCTATCCTGTCTGTAGTATGTAATTACAGTAGCCCTAGCAATACATTGTGTGATCTTGAATAAATTAAATTTTTCTAAAGCTCAGTTTCCTCAACTATAAAATGGAGATAAATAACATATGCCTCATGAGGTTGTTGTGAGAATTAAATAATGTATGTAAAGCTCATAGCATAGTAAGAACTAAATAAATTCCGGCTATTATTCTTAGGAAGATTAAATGAGGTTATGCATGTAAAGCATTTAGCTCAGCCTCTAGTACACAAGAAAGTTCTACTAAGTATTAGCTTTTTAAAGAAATTTTCATTTCATAAAGGGTTACATTATATTTTTTCTATCTCCCAAGTATTTCCTTTAAGACCTAGTCTAATTTATTTGTGCCATAATTAATTCAGATGTAACAGGCTTTGTACCACTGAAACAGTTTAAGCAATCCTATCCAACAAACATTTATCGAGCACCTACATTTTGTTAGATTTATTTCCAACTACTTGATATGCTTTGGTGTTATTATAAATGCTACCTTATCAAAAAATTTTATTTATAGTTGTTTGAAGCTCTTTTATAAACATGAAATTTATTTCATATGCTATCATTTTCTATCAGTCTTGCTAGGCTTTGTAGTAAGGTAAAATTTTTATCGTGTAGTTTCTTCTAACTTTTAAAATATTCATAATCAAATTACACGCAATTAATGAGATTTTGGGGTTTTTCTTTCTAAACTTTACATCTTTTGATGAAAAAAATAAAATGTATCAATTTTCTCTCTCTCTCTCTTTTTTTTTTTTTTTTTCCAGACGGAGTCTCACTCTGTCACCCAGGCTGGAGTTCAGCGGCGCGATCTCGGCTCACTGCAACCTCCGCCTCCCGGGTTCAAGCGACTCTTGTGCCTCAGCCGCCCAAGTAGCTGGGACTACAGGCGCCTGCGACCACGCCTGGTTAATTTTTTACTCTTTTTTTTTTTTTTTTTAATAGGGACGAGGTTTCGCTATTTTGCTCAGGTTGGTCTATAACAGGTACTATTCTATCCTAACAATATGTTTCTAAATGATATTGGTGCCAAAATCAGGATTACCCAGTGATTTTGTTAATACATGCTTATTGAATCAGAAGGTCTAGGGTGGGGAATTTGCTTAAGTATGCAGTCCCCATACTTGGTGATTCTCATGCAGCCAAACATTTGGGCGCCCCTCACCCAATCTCACCAAGAACCAGAAGACCAATTAGCATTTTCGTGGGCTTCCTGCCCCATGGTACCCTCTGTTCCCAAAGGGTTTTTGCAGTTTCACAGAACTTTTTCACATTCCACTCGGTTTTTTTTTTTTTTTAAAAGACGAGTCTGTCACCCAGGCTGGAGTGCACTGGCGCGATCTCGGCTCACTGCAAGCTCCGCCTCCCGGGTTCACATCATTCTCTGCCTCAGCCTCAACCATTTTTTTTTTAAGACCACTCTGTCACCCAGGCTGGAGAATGGTTCACACCTCATAGAATGGTACTCAGCCTCCCGAGTAGCTGGGACTACAGGCGCCCACCACCACGCCCGGCTAATTTTTTGTTTTTGTTTCTTTTTTCAGTAGAGACGAGGTTTCACCGCGTTAGCCAGGATGGTCTCGATCTTCTGACCTTGTGATCTGCCCGCCTCGGCCTTCCAAAGTGCTGGGATTACAGGCGTGAGCCACCGCGCCCGGCCTGGTTGTGTTTTTGTTTGTTTTTTTTTTTTTTCCAAAAATGGGCGGGGGAGAGTAGTCTGAATTGGGTTATGAGGTCCCCTCCGGGGTACCTCACCTCAGCCATTGAACTCACTTCGCCGGCCGTGAGTCTGTTCCAAGCTCCGGCAAAGGAGGCATCCGCCGGGCCCCTCCCCGAAGGGCGGGGTCCACGGCATCTCCTGCCCAGTCTGACCTCGCGCGGAGCCCCATTCTCTGGGAACTCACCTCCCCGAAGATCAGGGAGAGCCCTGTTAGGGCCGCCTCTGGCCCTAGTCTCAGACCTTCCCAAGGGACATGGGAGTGGAGTGACAGGACGCACTCAGCTCGTGGCCCCACTGATGAGCTTCCCTCCGCCCTATGGGGAAAGGTGGTCCCACACCGAACTTATAAGACTCCCATACTCAAAGACATTTCTCGTTTATGGTGACTTCCCAGAAGACACAGCGACATGCAAATATTGTAGGGCGTCACACCCCTGTCCCTCACAGTCATCTTCCTGCCAGGGCGCACGCGCGCTGGGTGTTCCCGCGTAGTGACACTGGGCCCGCGATTCCTTGCAGCGGGTTGGTGACGTCAGCGTTCGAATTCCATGGCGGCGCGGCGACGACGGAGCACCCGCGGAGGCAGAGCGAGAGGTTCGGAGCTCAGTATCGGGGGAGGGAATGCGGAAGCGAGGAGTCAGAAAAGGAACGATGCCACCTACTGTGACCCCCTTCATCTTCCACCTCCCCATAACCTGCACTTGGCTACCAAACCAGTTTGGGTGCTAAATTTTGTAAATTTAGGTTTTCAGAGCTTTGGGGATGACGTAATTGTGCATAAAGCCTTGCAGAGCTGTAACAACTAATATGCCAGTACTGTTGTTAATACCTAATGTCATACAATTTACAAAAAGTTATTGTGAGGCACACCATTATTTTATACACAAGAAAGGATAAGCACTGAAAATGATGAACTATGATTCACTGCTTATGCCATCCATTCTAAGATGGAGCCCAGTTCCAGAGGGTAAAATGCGAGTCTAGACCTATTGAGATACGGTATTATGTGTATAATGTTCTTAAGTGCATAGGTCCACCCTATAAATTAAGTACTAGTGTACTTCTCTAGAAGTACAGTATTGTACAATGTTCTAATATTGGAGCAAGTGAAGCAGGAAGAGATCAAACACTTCTCCAAGTTTCCACAGATAAAAGCAGCAGAGCTAGGCTCTAAATTAGGCACAGACCCTTGAGCAGTTTACTAACCTAATCCCATACCGCCTCATGTATGAGTTGGGTATTTGGGGGACATTGGGACACAAGTAAACAAAACAGATAAGCAGGCCTCAGTCTATGAGCTTACAAGACTCCTGGGGCTCCCTTTTATTTTGTTTTATTTCATTTGGCTAGAATAGCAATTTAGGAAGAATTACACAGACTGTTACACAAGGGTAGTGTGGTGACAGTTTTTATTGCCTCTTTGTAAACTTAGAAAATTATCTTAAACCGGCGGGGTGCGGTGGCTCAGGCCTGTAATCCCGCACTTTGGGAGGCCGAGGAGGGCAGATCACTTGAGGTCACGAGTTTGAGACCAGCCTGGCCAACATAGTGAAACCCTGTCTCTACTAAAAATACAAAAATTAGCTGGGCATGGCGGCGAACGCCTGTAATCCAAACTACTTGGGAAGCTGAGGCATGAGAATCACTTGAACCCAGGAGGCAGAGGTTGCAGTGAGCGGAAATCGTACCACTGCACTCCAGCCTGGGCGACAGAGTGAGACTCCACCTTGAAAAAAAATAAGAAAGAAAAGAGAAAGAATGATCTTAAACCATTTATTTAAAGGATTTTTTTCAATCCTTAAAATCTACCCGTTTTCAGATGTACTCATTCTTTGCTCATTTCCAAATTTTGTAGCATTAAATGAAAGCAAAAGAGTTAATAATGGCAACACGGCTCCAGAAGACTCTTCCCCTGCCAAGAAAACTCGTAGATGCCAGAGACAGGGGTCGAAAAAGATGCCTGTGACTGGAGGAAACGCTAATGAGGACAGGACAGAAGACAAGCAAGATGGTACGCCAGGGAGGTCATGGGCCAGCAAGAGGGTTTCTGGTAGGAGTGGATCTGGGGATGATATCTTGTTATTTCAACTCTTATTTCTTCCTTCTTTCAGGATAGAATTAATTTCTCTATCCTTTGGGCATACCACAGCACTAATCTACTGCCTTGAATCTTCATTTTCATGTGTTTGAGATGGATTGAGGCCTAAGGAAAGACCAGGATTGGTTGGGAGGACAAAGTTAATTCTCACAAGTTTCTGTTTAACCACAACAGCTGTTTTTGATTCCCATAAAGTAGTACCTATCTGTCTTTCCTCAGAATCTGTGAAGGCCTTGCTGTTAAAGGGCAAAGTTCCTGTGGACCCAGAATGTACAGCCAAGGTGGGGAAGGTAAGACACTCTGGACCGATCTTTAGTCCGTGGATGTCTCAGAGAGCATCCTTTGTTATAAGGACTCCTGTCTGGGATGCTGTTCGTATCATTTCAGGAATCCTCTCCAAAAT